TTTATTAACACCCAGTTCACAGTTGCTATTAGTCCTTATTAAATTATATTGTTCAAACAGCAATCAAAAAAAATCCTGTGCATTTAATAGCACATTGTCTTATAATAATTAAGCAAATTCAATTATATATATATATATATATATATATATATATAATTTTTATGCTGCGTAATAAAATAATAAAAAAAACTAGTTTTTGTATCTATCGAACTATTTTGATAGTATATCAGTAAATATTGTTTAGTAATAGATAATGTGTAGAGGTACCAATAAATATTGCGATAAGAAAACCAAAAACATAGTACGATACTAAGTATACTTTGTTCAAATTCTAGCATTTCGGTAAAAAATATGTACATATTATGATAACTCTACACCAGTTGGCAATGAGTTTGCGCAAGCACTGCCTCGCATGTTTATATTGCAAATCTCCGGTGTCCCAGTTTTACCGACGCGACACGTAACTTATTGACATCGCTTTACTGACAGATAGATCTCTTCCTATAGATTCAATTTACATAAAACCTTTTTTGATTTATAGTATTTCTTAGGGTTCTTAAAGACAAAAAATATTTTTAACTAAAATTCACGGTCTCTTAAAGAATTTTTTTTACACTTAAAGATGGATATTGATACAATCTATTTAATAACATAATAAGTCTAAAATAAGTTTGTTAGTGTTTGTTATGGAACAGCGGATCTATATGAAATTTTGGATAAATCATTAGTCGTGGAGCGATAGGCTTACTCCACCACGCTGGCAGTGTACGAGTTGACGAACTTCACATGTCTTTCTAAATCTTGCAAAATTCTATCAAGCGTGTCGGTTTCCTCAGGATGTTTTCTTTTACAAGTAAAGTATGTTGTACGTAAACATCGTAAGGTAAGTGGTAATTATGTTGATAATGATTCGCATGTATGGGAATATCAGAGGTGCAATCCGGTGCAAAGGTGCATATTCGGGATTTGAACCCGCTTCACTTTGTTTTCTACACAAGCGGCTACCGATACCTATATATCCAGACGTTTTTAAAATTGTCAGACCAAGTATCCTTAATGTTTTTCTTTAATTACGCACTACGGCTTGATCGCCTGACCCGTTTACATGCCAGTGATAACATAGTTCCGGTTACTAATAAGTCTGACACTCGACATACATGTCCTCTTTCTTCGGATAATAACTTATTACAGTTAAAGAAATAATACAATCATAATTATTGAATTGAAACTTCTTTAGAATCGTTGTGATTTGAAACCTAATGAAACGAAAATGCGACACTAAAAAGAGACGAACAGATAAATATATAGAATTAAGCCGGCGAGAGAATGAGATAGAATATATTGCCATGTTGCCATGCATTCTTTCTGTATATGATATTCTATAAATATATGATTGTAATAATATGTCAAATATGCCTCATTATATATACCACTGGGCTACCACTGCCTGCTTCTATTAATTTAACAATAACGAAAAACAGAACAGAATGTTTTCATAACATAATATTTATATAGGCTTAAAGAGATGATTGAGAAAAGATTATGAAAATAAAAATAACTAATTTAGTACCTATATGGTATGTTACAAAAGATACTGACATAATGGGAATATAAAAATATTACATACCTACAACGTACCTATTCGTCAAATGCGAACCTAGAAATTTAAATTTTAAAGGAGTTCTCTAAAAAAAGTTTTTCCAAACTCATCACCCGAAAGGTTAGGTTAAACAAATATCACGAAAGGCTAGTCATAAAGCATATTCTCGTACACCACTGGACTACGCAAAATTATAAAAACTATAATTACATATTTAAAAACATTATATGCCAGCTTTTTTTAAAATGTAGGAGTTTTTTGTAGCCTACGAATACGTATTATATACGTACGTACGTACTATAGCAACAAAAAGTAATTTTACGTTATTTTCGCTTTATAAAGAGAAAGCAACACAAATCATGTCATACAAATGGCAAAGTGAAAACATAAGTACCTCTGCTATCTACCGCAATATCCACTCACTAAGCGTGACATTACTAAAACTAACTATACCATTTTAACTTTTTATTTTCATATAAACCCATGATGTTGTCACGCATGGAGTCACCTAACTTGTAGTTCTATTCAAGCTTAATACATACATTGAAGATTTTTAAGAAAAGGTCAAGTACGAGTCGTATTCGCACACGAAGGGTTCTGTACCATCGTAAATGTTTTTTTTTATTGTTATGGCTTTTACTCTATGTATGTAGTAGGTATATTAACTTCGACGGTCGATTACGAACGTTAAAAAATATTTCTTTTATTTTTATTACTTATTGTTATAGCTTTAATAGAAATATATACTCTGTGAAAATGTCTACTCTCTACCTTTACGGTTCATGAGATACAGCCCTCTGACATGCGGACGGACGAACAGCGGAGGCTTAGTAATAGGGTTCCGTTGGTACTCTAATAAAAATTAAATGTATGCGAGTAGTGTCAATACTTTAAATCTAAATATCCAATAGCTTGGTGAAGCTGGTATGGTATACGTTACTTTATAAAGATTATATCGTATGTTGAACAATCATTGTAGGGATTATGATGGCTACTTTATCCCTGGATAGGGGAGGGATTTCCTTGGGATATGAATTATATTTTTTTTGCATCTTTATGCCTCTCTCTCACTCTTGAAGTGAGATCAAGCGGAGACGGATCGGGTAAGAAACTATTGGAATATAAAACTCTGTTGTCCGATTTCACCAACAACCCATAAGCTACCACCTACGTATGGGATCCCTAGCTTAAAAGTCCCCTAAACTAGCCCCTAAATTAAATTTCGTTTTACGATCGTCTTTAAGCCCATATTTCGAGCACCTAAATTTAGGGGGCCTTTTAATATTTAGGTGACCCCTAACTGTCGGTGAAACAGAAACTGTCCCCTAACAGCCCCCTAACCATGCTTCCCCTAAGCATCCCTTAAACTTAGGTGACGTTGAGGAAATCGGGCATGTATTGCTTACATAATAAAAATGTTCTTAATGTCAAATCAGTCAATCAAGCGAAATAATAAACACTTCTTCTTCTCCCTGCTCATTTCCCAATCACTTGGTGTCGGCGCAGTACATATTCTATACTGCTGATAGGATTTGGCAAAGGTTTTACGACCGGCCGCTTGTCTGACGTCAACCCTCCTTGGGAATGCTATTGTCTCTCTAATAATAAACACTAATAGTCATAAAGAATACCCTAATAAAACAAATTTTATTATTATTATTATTTAATTTAGTAAAAAACTGTGTACAAACAAAACTTCGTTTTCTCAATATTATTTAAGAGTTCTGATTAACGGAATGTATGCACTATTACAGTGAGTAGTAAATATTATGTATATTATTGTAAATATCATTGAAACGCCACAGAATACTTTACCTTGTTACCTTGCACGTTCGATAAATAGATAGTTAGAAAATTATATTAACAGCGCTCAATAGAGTGTATCTGTACTAAATACACAAATGTTATTGAAAGGATTTATATGTATTTGAAATTTTTGTATGTTTGCATGCAAACATACAAAAATATTGGATTTTTATATTTTGTTTTAATAATAATGCTTTCCTAACCGATAACATACCCAATATAATTACTGAGACTACCCATCTGCCCGGCAGATATTAAGAGTATGTACATTTATATAACACATAATTATGTTCACAAAAACAAGTGCACTCTCTATTCCTTTCACTATCATAATCCTGGGGTACAACAATTCGAATGGAAAAAGATCAAGCGCATTTGCGATAACTTTTAAAAGGGAAAATGTTAAGTATTTTCAACCGACTTCAAAAAGGAGGAGGTTCTCAATTCGACTGTATGTTTTTTTTTTTTTTTTATGTTTGTTACCTCAGAACTCCGTCATTTATTAACCGATTTGGACGATTTTTGTTTTGTTTGAAAGGGTATACTTCCAGATTGGTCCCATTTAAATTTCAAAAAAAAATACCACCCCTAAGGGTGGAAAAACAAATAATGATGAATTTAACCTACTTCTAATTGTCATATTGACTTGAAACTTTGCAAGTATTTCTATTTCCGTTGATAGTACAGTGGTTCGGTGTTGTTGACCTGATCTGATGGCAAGGCCAGAAGGTGGATAGGTGGAACTCTTCAATGGCTAATAGTAGATACTTTGAGTTTGGGCTTATTTTGTTTGATTTGACAAGCCTAACACGTTAGAATCCTTACTTTGCTACTACTGTCTACACTAAAAAGGTAAAAATAAAAACTTTTTAACAAAAAAATAAAAACCGACTTAAAAAAAAAGCACTAAAAAGTAAAAAATAACTGATTGGTAGTTTTCATTTACTATACATACCTAATCAAATATTTTCGAAGTCGGTGTGCTTTGGCTAAGTAATTAAAGCCTACCTATTAAATACATACCTAATCAAATATTTTCGAAATCGGTACCAGCCCATACAAAGCAAAGCACACCGACTTCGAAAATATTTGATTAGGTATGTATAGTAAATGAAAACTACCAATCAGTTATTTTTTACTTTTTAGTGCTTTTTTTTGAAGTCGGTTTTTATTTTTTTGTTAAAAAGTTTTTATTTTTATTCTCAACAGTTCTCTTTCGAGCCAATGAAATGTCATTGGCTTAAATCAAATCAATCTTAAAATTAATAATACTTAATTTGAATAGAAAGAGCCATCGCAGATATTTTTATGTGAAACGATTAATCTTTGTGAGGTATAACATCACCCAAAATAATCAGTTTACGGCATAACAAAGCATCAAATTAGTGCAACTTATTCTCAAAGAACGTGTCTCATACTAGCGATTTTTATTAGTAGCTATAAAAGAAAAAAGCATTGTAATAGTTAATTCAGATATTTAAATTCGCACTCTAGAAATCTACACTATTTTCTTCTTTCTTACCTACGCGAAACTAAATAAAATATATTACAATTTAACGTCTTATTAGTCTATTATATTTGCAGATTTACTTACTTGTATCCAGTGAGTATATTGAGCAGGGTGGACTTCCCGGCGCCAGACGGGCCCATGATGGCTGTCAGCTCGCCGGAGCGAAGTCTCCCCGACACCGATTTGAGGATTGTTTTTACATCTGCAAAAATGAAGTAATTTGTATTATAACTCATCTAATTAATGTAGAGGGATGATATTTTTTGGGGTTTGTACTAATTACATGTTTGACAAGTTTGTGTGTGTGTATATATATATATATATATATATATGTATGTATATATATATATAAGACTAGACTAAAAGCATACATTTTTGTATATAAGTACATTGTACATTTACTGTAAGGGTAAAGATCAATAAACTGCCTGCAACAAAAGTAGAAAAAACAGATGTAGGTACCTAGATACGAAATTTTGAAAACACTTTTTGTTAGTATTTACACTGTGCAAAAACTAAGTAATTTAAAGTTCATAATAAATAACAATTTATTTAAAATGTTAGCTTTATTTATCTTTTTTCGATTTTATATCAAATATGATTTATATTATACACTTTTTAATTTATATTTAATGCGGCATAAGTCAGTTAACAAAGTGCCTACTTAGTCCATCCGTAATTAGCATCGTCTTTGTTTAGGACAACAATGTTTATTGTCAAGCAAATATATACGTCATCATTATTTTTATGAAGCAAAATTGATTTATAGGGCAAATTCCATTTTCTTACCTTCTTATTTATACTTCATAAACGGTGTATTAAATATTTCATTGTGTGACTTTTAGTTATTGCAATTTATTTCTAACAAACACTTTCATCTATTAGGCTTTCTATCTCTATTCGTCACTTTGTTAGATAAAAAAAAATATACTGTCTTAGTAATCTAGTAGATCACTACCAGTCAGATACGGAGGTCCTGGGTTCGAGTCTCGGGTCGGGCCAAGTTCAGTTATTGAGTATTTCTGTCAAGAAATTCTCAGTACCAGCCCAGAGTAGGGAAGTTGGCGGTGTTTTATTCCAGTAAAGCCGTCGGTCCTGCGCCTATCTCACCGGTCGTGTCGAAGTATCGTCCCATTGGACTCTGAGAGTGACGGGAATAGAGAGTGCACTTGTGTCTGCGCGTACACGCGCTGGACTATAATATCTCCCGCTGCGCAGTCTCAGTGAGATTGACCGCCGTGACCGAAATCGGCCAGGAGGACATTATTATTATTAAAATATTATTTAGTCTCTTTTATAAAAACCGCAGATTACATTATTACAGATTTCTATCCGCTAACTTACAAGGAAGCTTGGTTGTCTAAAGACCTAGGATATCCGAAATTCAAACTTGACTGTTAAGTATTAACAGTGCCAGGATATTTTCATCATTACTATTATACTCATACAACTTCGACTTCATATCTATGTCAATATTTAAGCCTGGTTAAAATAGGTTAAGCAGTACCTACTAGAGTTTAAGTACGAATAAATACTAATTTTTACTAAAGTTCTGAGTCCACCATCCATTAAGTAAAGAAAATGAAGAACCGAAGAGTTATTTTTAAATTGCAAATAGATAAATTTTACTGTATAATGGCCTTTTAACGAAGTAGTCAGCTGATATATCACACGTTACACAAGAAATATCAAAAGCACGTGTCATCAAAATAAGTACATTCGGATAAGCAGTACCTGTTCTTATCATAGATTAATGATAATTTTATTTCGTAATTTAGAGCCCACGGCATCAGTTTTTTCATTAATATTTCAATTTAGTAAACTCTGCTTACTTCTGGTTCCGTTTCCTTGGTCTAAAAGTCACATTTTGCTACACATCTATACATATAATAAAATTGTAACAAAGGCGAATCTATACATTAAATATTTTTGGAAAATCATATTGAAATAGACATTATTATCGATACAGAGGCCGAATCTATAGTTTTTTGATTTTTTATCTGTTTCTTTGTCTGTCTGTCTGTGAACACATCACGGACAAAAATCACTAGAGTCAACATATAGTATAAGGACTTTTTACTGTAGTTTTTTTTTTCATTTCTGAGAAATCGATACTAAACGTCATAACGTACTCGTATGTAGGGACGAACCCGAGCGGAGCGATGGTGAGTCGCTAGTTAATTAATAATACTACATATATAGATAAAAATACCGATGTCCATTTTGCCCATAAAATTATTTATGTACAAAAAATCGTGCCGATCCGTTTCCGTAGTAGCATGATAAACCAAAAACCACCCTAATACATTTACATTAGGGTTCAAATATGAACTATTGTTATACTTCGCATACTTTTATAGCAATTTGAAGATACTTTACTTTGGAGGTATAATAATTATTTATTTATTACATTTTTTACACATATATGTTGCACGTCTGCTATTTCAACTTAACTCTGCTATTGATATTTTCCTGTTATAACTTATATAGGTAAGCCATTGCCATTTTTTATTGAATTAAATATTAAAATTACTGTGAAATCAAAATGATTTTAAAATAACCTTCTAAGTAAATATTTTACTTTAATTTTTTTTTAAATACAAACAAAAAAATACTAAATTAAAACTTATTTTGCCTCCTGAGAGCAACTTTTTTTAAATTCGTATAAAAACGCCAAAAAACAAGCAGAAATTCAAACATCTTAAATTTTACTTTAACTTAAATTATTACTTTTTTAACTTAAAGTCATTTGACTGGACCAAGTTAGAAAAGAAGAAACCTTAACCCCTATATATATATATATATATATATATATATATATATATATATATATATATATATATATAAACGCGTGTTTTCGAGTTTTCATGCAGTTTTCTTTTGCATTATTCCACGCAAAATATGGTCGATAATTTGCATGCTCTGGTGTAAGCATCGCGGTCAAGCGGCCAAGGTGCAAGATCTACAATCACAGGTGTCCAGGTTCGAATCTTAGTCGCATATAAAGTTTTCACTTTTTTTAATATTTATTCAAGTTTTTAGTTAAAAAAAAAAGAAAATTGTACTTTAGGCCAAAAACTCCGAACGAAGCTCGGTAGCCCAGGTACTATTCTTTTAAATGTTAAAATAAAAAAAACTTAGATAAATATTAATAATTTAAAACTATAATTTCAATCAAATAGAATTTTATAATCTATGATGACCTTTGCCTATCAAAAAAAATTGAAGGCACATATTTTTATCAACTAGGTATCGTAATTAAAGATAGTACGTTGCTACGAAATTAAGCGTAGATAGGTATCTATATCAAAGGATAAAATATTTTTTACATATTTACTTTTGAATGTATATTTGGTTTTAAGCAGAATGAAACGGTTTTACATTACGCTGTTCACCTAACAAAGAAAGTAAAGTGGGAGTGTTAACTGGAGGAATATTAGAATCGGGTTAGTACCCAACTTAGAATATCTATGAATATGAATAGGAAATCAATAATAAGAGATAAAATTCCTGAAATTCCTTCTCAGAACACCTTATTTGCGCTCAACAATATTCCACTATATATTTTATATCTGTACGTGTAGTAACTTCACAATTCAAAACAAGTTTCTCCTCAATAAACACTCAAAATAAGGAAAACAAGTTTAAAACAAGTAATCTTCGTAAATAATTATTATTAAGGTAATTAAATGAATTAGTCACTTTTTAACGTTTAGTATAGATTTCTCATAGATGAGATATTTTTCCGCAGTAAAAAGTCTCGGATAACCAGCTTTCATCATACCATATTTCATCAAAATCCGTCAGTGGTTTTCCCGTGATGTGATGACAGACAGACAGATACAAAAATTCTAAAAACTATAAATTCGTCCTCTGTATCGATAATAATGACTATTTCAATAAGAAAAAATATTGAATGTACCTACAGATTCCACTCAGAATTTTATTATCTGTATAGATCTATGTAGACATACAATCAGAATGCAGTCACGTGCATAATAGCTAGCCATAAACGTAATTAATATATCTATTATCATTCTATTATGAAGCACAAACGCTTATTAAACGGCGCTTTCTGCAAATCCTACTGCACTATTACAACGTGATTTCTATAAAGGGAACTGTTATGTACATTCTGTATAGTTCTTTACACTACACGTGTACAGTATTACAGGACTACAGTAGGTTTAGTTTTTAAAGTGATTTGGATAGAAAGATATGCGTTCTAACATCCAGATAAATATAATCAGTTTTTTTATTTTAATAAGGTAAAATAAAAACTAATGTAAAAAGAAAAACTGATGTAAAGATTGTGATGTAACAAATATTAAAAAAAACACGAGTGCCGACTCAACACTTGTACCACTCTATACCTATATACGCACGCGATACTTTAATAAGTAGGTACATTACAAAACAAAGTGAATGAAATAGTCAATATAAATTTAATTTTTACAATCTATTCATTAGGTGGTTAAACAAAACAAGGAAATCCCTTAAAGTTATGTTGGACGTCGGTAAGGTATTATACATATACTAAACGTAAATTCGTCATAGAATTTATTTATTTTATTTATTTACTAAGAAACATCATTTTCGCATATAATATCATAAACAGTTTCTATGTTAATAACATCATTAGTTATACAACTGAGTCGCAGTTATCAACGCCCACCTCTCTAGCAACAGGCTACAATTGTATATGCTAAATTAATTGTATCAATTCTAATAATACAACAAAATAATAGAATTTTCAAATATCAATAAAACAGAAAACAAAATATTCGACAAAAAAGTTATGATTTACAAAAAAATAATAATTATACAGTATAGAAATTGTTGAAAGTTGTAGTATTAGTGAGTGAAGTGTGTAAGTATGAGTTTGGTTGTGTGTGTACTGTGTATATGTATGTATGAGCATGTTTGGGTATTGTATGATATATGTTTATGTTTCTCAAATAAGAGAGTTAATAAATTGTTCAGTCGCGTCATAATTTAATTTAATAAGCCAATTCGTCAAAAAGATTTTACAGTAGTGTGATGTGTACGAATAGACATTTAAGAAAATAAAAATTTAAGAAACATTTAAGAAAATTTAATTTAATAAAAGTTCTTTATTTATCTTATTGTATAGTATCGGACTAAAGTAATAAAACTGGCGATTTGATGAAACAGTGCGACGTGGCTCCACGTAGCAAACTC